TTAATAGTTTTAATGAACATTTACAGAGAATTTGGATTTCCATTCATTCATTGCTGCACTTCTCTCCCCGCCCAGCCCTCTCCCCCCGCCCCCAATTATAATATTCTTAAAATATCTACTTGTTTATTTTTATGTACTGTTGAGTCAGAAGTGACCCATAGCTGAGCAACCCTTCAATGCGTTTCCAAAGGCAATAAATTGCATGGAAGGAAATTGTCTGTTTTCTCTGGAGCAGCAGCTGGTGGATTCAAACTGCATGCCTTTGGTTTGGCAGCATAAATCTTTACCACTAAGCCGCCAGAACTCCATGTTTGAATGTGTCTAGTATATCAGAGTTCTGGGGTCCCTGTTGTAAGGACCTGCGCTGCAAACCCAAAGTCATGTGGTTCGAATACATCAGCTGCTCTGCGGGAGAAAGATGGGCAATCTCTTCATGTGCAATTTTATTCTACTTTTGAAAACCCACCATAGAGTCAGCTACCAGTCAGTTCTGACTCAATGGTATACACCAACAATTACATCAGAGAGCTCTGATGATGTAGCCCTTGGAAGTGGCGCTGCTAATCCAAAGGTGGCTCTTCTCCAGTAGTTTGAGTCCACTAGCAGCTCTGAATCCATCAGTGACTCTGAGGGAAGGATAGACAGTCTCCTGTGTGAATTACAGCTTCGGAAAACACACCGAGAGGCCAGCAACAACAGTAAAGAATTGATTTTATATTTTGAGGCTTTGATGTAATTATGATTTAGGTAGTATTGTAAACCTTGACATCATGTGAAAAGTAAATATCTGTCATTGAAATTCTGTAGAGAAGTTATGGGAATAAAGGACTGAGCATGGATTATCCTTAGTACAATAGAAGATAAATGTTATTCCCTACATGAAAAATATACTGTGGTCAAATGGGTTTTGTAGAAGGTTGGCTCTTTCCTTTTTTTAATTTTACCTAATTTTTCTTCTTTTATTTATTTAAGAGTTTACATTGATTTATTTTTAAATTCCCATACATTGTGTTCTTTTTAACACTGTAATGAAACATTTTATTTATCTATTCACATTTTATATTATAACATTAATTATCATTGATTAATGTAATGAACCTCTTATCATCTAATCAACCTCTTATTGTAAACTGTCTTTCCCTTCATCCAATTTATCAATTTTTTGCTTAGTTTTTAATTTTTTCACCGTGTTTTAATTTGAAAGTTACAAATCATACTGCTTTTTCATACAATCATTCATCCATATTTTGTTTTATAACAGTAATTGCCATTGATTAATGTAGAGAGCTTTAGTGGTCTAGTGGGTAAGGAGTTGTACTGCCAACTCTAGGGCAGAAGGTTTTTTTTTGGTTTTTTAAAATTTTATTATTTTCTCTGTGTGTGTACCATCAAATTGGATCTGACTGGTACAGGAGGAGGTGGCCCCTTCTTCTCCCGCAGAGCATCCGGTGGATTCAAACCACATATCTCTGGGATTGCAGTGCAGCTTCTTGCCACTAGGCCACCAGAGCTCCCCAGTAAGTTTTGAATCCACCAGCTGTTTCAATTCAAAAAGATAGACAATCTCTTCCTGTGCAATTTACAACTTCTGAAAACACACTACATTGTCGGCTAGGAGTCAGTTCTAACTCACGGAATGAGACTTTTGAGAATGTGATTCATTTATCACAGTGTCTATCCAGATAAGTTTTTATTAATTAGACATTGTAATTAATCATAGTTTGCACTGCAATCCTAAAGGCTCATGATTTGAGGCCACCAGCAGCTCTGTGGGAGAAGGATTGGCAGTCTTCTCCCAAGTGATTAACAACCTCTGAAAATCCACTGGAATGTTCAGTTATGAGTCAGTTACAACTCGATGGGGCTCAAAAATAGAAACCAAGCCATTGCTCTATTCCTTCACTGCCTTCCCCCCACATCCAATTTATCTATTTAATAATTTTTATTTCCTCATCCTAGAAATTGTTATTAGGTGCCATTGAGTTGAGTATGACTCATAGCAACCCTATCTATGAACAATACATCTGACCTCAGTCCTATTCTGTGCCATCACTGTGTCAGATATACTGGAGCCTATTGCAGCAGTCACTGTTGTCAGTCCATCTAGTTGAGACTCTTACTTTTCGTTTGCTGAACTTCTAACTTTCCAAGCATGATGCCCACCTCCAAGGAATAGCCTCTCTTAACAACATACCTAAAGTATGAGGAATGAAGTTTTCTCAGTTTTGGCTTTAAGAAGCACTCTTCCTACACTTTCTCTAAGACACATCTGTTTTGTCTTTTGGCAGTCTATGGGATAGTCAATATTCTTCTCCAGTACCATAACTCAAAGGCATAAATTCTTCTGTCATCCTTATTCATGTCTCACATTCATAACAAGTGGTTGAAAAGACCATAGCCAGAATAAAGTGCACCTTAGTCCTCAAACTGACATCATTGCTTCTTAATAATTTGGAGAAGTCCCTGGTTGCAGATTTCCCAATGTGATATGTCTCCTAATCTCCTAACTGCTAGTACTAAGGATGTTGATTGTTGATTTAAGCAAGATGAAGTCATCGACAGTTTCAATTTTTCTCTGTCTATTATGATTTTGCCTATTGGCCCAGTGGTGAAAATTCTTGTTTTCTTGATATTGAGATCCAATCCATATTGAAGGCTATAGTCTTTGATCTTCTGTAGCAAGCACTTCAAGACCTTCTTACTTTAAGCAACCAAGATTGTGTCATCTGCATAACACATATCAAAAAGAATTGGCTGACTCACACTCTAGAATTTGGATTCTTATTAAGTATGATTGAAACACATAGCAAGAGAAGGGAAGAAAGGGCTTTTTTTCTTTCTTTTTAAAAAATCATGCCACAAAGTTAAGTTCTTGCTAATAAAGTCTATTAAATTGTTTTATATTATGATGTGTTAGGCTGCTAACTGAAAGGTCAGTAGTCCAAATCCACCAGGCTTTCTAAGGGAGAAAAATGGGCACTGTGAAGCCTATAAAGATTTTGACCCTCAGAAACCCAAATGGATGATTGTTAGGAGTCAAGATTGACTTAAAGACAGGAGGTTACACATCTAAATTAAAAATTTTGTTAATGGGAAAGAGTATTTATCAGGAGCTTCATAAATTATAAGCTCTGAGAGGGTTAATTTTCAAAATCGATTGACAATGCTGAAAATTTTTAGAAACAAATACAAATACTATTTCCAATCAATCAATAAGGAAGAGTGAATAAAAATTTTAATTATGGTGCTGACAAATAATATTGGGTATCCAATACACTATCAGAAACATAAGCAAAACTGTCATGGAAGAAGTACTCAAATACTCCTCAGAGGCAAAGCTGAAGAGATTCCATTTCAGGTTCTTTTTGACATATTATCAGGAGGGGTCAGTCCCTGGAGAAGAACATCATACTCAGTAAGGAATCAGTGAAAGACCCTTAATGCGAAGTGTTGACAGGGTGGATGCATCAGTTCTGAGAGAGCCATGGTGGCTTAGTTCATAAAGAGTTGCACTGCTAAGCAAAACGCCACACTTTTCTGACGGTTGAATCTACAGGAGCCCCATGGAAGAAAGATGGGTAGCCTCCTTCTGTGTGATTTAGAACCTTGGAAGCCCAATGGAGGGTCAGTTATGAATTGGAACTGACTCAAAGGCAACGAGAAAGAACAAGTAATTAGTTGTGAGATAGTAGTGAATCAGGAAGGTAAGGATTTTCTTCAGTTGTAGATAAGGTCTATGTGAGTCAGACCTGACTTAATACAACAACAGCACGTTGGTTTGAAAACAAGTATTTTTTTATGAGAATGAAAAACAAAACCCACAAAAGCCCCCCCCAAAACAACTAAATTATTCAGAGGAACATTTCTCTCAGTTATAAAAAGTGTATTTTTCTTTAATATGATGCTAATATTCTTAAGTATTCATAACAAACTATGATTTCAAGGACAATTATTTACTAAAGAGAAATGTAACACAAAAAATTAGAAAAACATTGTTTCATGTAAAATAGGACCAGCATTTCTAGTGTTTGTCAAAATCTTGAAATAAAAGCAATACATCTGGCATGTTATTAAAAATATATTTCAAAATACTGCAATAAAGGGAAATAATTTTGGCTTTTAAATCTATCTCACTTATTTCCAACATATACATATTTATATGTTTTATGTATATATATTTCCTCAAATGATTTTTTTTCACCGTTTTCTAATTCTGGTGAGAAGAAACATTTTTAAAGATGTCAAGAATGCAGGAACTAATTCTTCAGATTTTTACATTCTATATTGTTGCATTAAACTCTGGCATCTTACTGAAAGACCACAAGATGTCACCATTTGTTTATTAATAATTATTTGGTTGTTCAAGAAAATGAAAACTCATTGTTCTGGGGTCAGAACCCATACTCATAACTGACCCTCTAGTGGGTTTTCAGAGACATAGAAGAAGAGGATAGATTAGAACCATCTATCTTTGGGTTGGCTTTTCTTATCCACTAGACCACCAGTACATAGGATTGTGTTTTTGCTTGAATTTTTAAAAAATAATTCTTTACTATGATTTTAACAAAAGTTTGCAGAAAACTTGGATTTGAATTCATTCATTGTTGTAGTTTCCTCTCCCCTCAGTCCACTTTGCTATGTACTTCTCATCCTGAACTTTTGCCAGCAAATAATGCCTAATCATATATTCCTTTTAAATAATTCTTTCCCTCATATGTTCCAATGCTGTGTTCATTATTTACCCCCTCTTTTCTTAGTTTCCCTCCAACCCCAACTGTCAGTCTTTATTTATACCAGTGGCATTATGCAGTATTTGTCCTTTTGTGACTGAGATATTTCACTCAGCATAACGTCCTCCAGGTTCACCCATTTTGTATAACATTTTATGAGTTCCTTGCTTTCAATGCTGCATAATATTCCATTGTGCAAATATACCACAGCTTCTCTATCTAGTCATTTGTTGCTGGGCACTTGGATTGTTGCCAAATCTTTGCTACTGTGACCACCACAGCAATAAATATGGTTGTGCATATATCTTTTTGGGTGGAAGTGCTAGTTTCTTTAGGGTATATTCCCAATAGTGCAATTGCTGGGTCAAATGTTATTTCTATTTCTAACTTTTTGAGAAACTGCTATATTACCTTTCACAGTGGTTGCATCATTTTACACTCCCACCAACAGCTAATAAGAGTTCCAATTTCTCTACAACCTCGCCAGGATTTTTGTTTATTGCTTTGTTGAATTTTGCTATTGTTACTGCGATGAGATGCTATCTCACAGTTGTTTTGATTTCAATCTCTCTTAGAGCTAGAGATTTTGAACATTTCTTCATGTGTTTGTTCACCATCCGAATATCTTTGGTGAAGCATCTGTTCATATCCGGTGCCCATTTTGCCATTTTGTAATTGGTTTGTTTACCTTTATCTTGTGGAGGTGCTGATGGCTCAAAACCTATCGAACATAACATGTACTGCTAGAACAAATAGGTCTGTCTTGGAGAGAGGGTAAAACCAAGTTTATCTTTGGAGGCAAGGATTTAGAAGCTCTGTCTCACATACTTGGGGCACATGGCCAGGAGGGACTGGTTTTTGGAAAAGGAAATCATGCTTGGAAAGGTGGAGAGTCAGTGTAGGAGAGGAAGACCATGGATGAGATGGATTAACATGGTGACTGAGTCAATGAGGTTAGGTGTGTCAGAGTCATTGATACTGGCTCAGAATAGGGCAGGGCTCAGAACTGATGTTCACGAGGTTGCTTTGAGTCATGTGCAACTCAATGGCATATAAGAACAGTAACAACAAGGCCACTAGAGCTCCAGGTACCCTCAGGTCAATGCCTACTCATGCAATGGAAAGAAACCCTGCCCAGCCCTGTGCCATACTCATGTTTTCAGCTGTGTTTATGAACAGAATAACACTATTGTTATAGTCATTTGTCAATATATTTCTTTAAGGGATTTTCTCTCTTTTGAGAATCCTCTACTTTTCTAAGCATAATGTGTTTCCAAAAATATTGTCTTTTCCTACACTAACTATAAACTTAAGCCCAGGTTGTTATTGTTGATTACCTTCTAGTTGAGCATGACTCATAGTGACCCTATCAATAAAAAGCCTGAAGCCCCTCTACAACTATCAACATTTGTCAAAGCTCATAGAGTTTCCAGAGGCATGTTATTTAGGAAGTGGATGCCACTCCTGCTTCCAAACCTGTCATACTATGTTCTGTGCCATTTAGTCACCTGAGATGCATAGTGACCCTATGTACAGCAACTCTGAACCTTCCCTGTCCTGAGCCAGGCTCACTGATTCTGACACACCAACCTCCATTGCCCCAGTTACTGTATCAATCCATCTCGTCTGTAAGGTGCATTATGTGTTGGGTAACAAAATGACATTTTTGGCGGTTCATATCCACTAGCTATGCCTCAAGAGAATGATGAGGTACTGTATTCCAATAAAGATTGACAGTCTTAAAAAAAATATTGACAGTCTTGAAAATCCCATGAAGGGTTGATCAGCATAAGCAGTTGTGAGGATTTCCTTCCATTGTACATAGAAAATTGACTCAATGGCAGTGGGTTTGATTTGCACAAAAAGTTCACCCATCAGAGACTATCTATACTTGAAGTCTTAATAATCACAACTAATTAAAACACTTCATCTCTATTTCCTTCTGTCTCACTCAATTTGGTGATGTAGATTAAAATTCAAAGTTTAAAGAAAGAAATAATAAAATCTGAATCCTTATTAGTTAACAAGCTGAAATGAAGAAGAAAGAAAAAACCAAACAAAAATCCTAGAATTTAAACTTATTTTTAAAAAATCTGTATTAAAAAAGTCAGTACCACATGTATTTTAATGTTGTTTGGTATCTTCAAGTTGACTATAACACATAACAACCCTATGAACAAAGGATCAGAACCTTTCCCTACCTATGCGACCCCATTTCACCAACCTGGATAAGCTTCCACTCATTACTACAATCACTGTGTAAATCTATCTTGTTGAGGGCCTCCCTCTTTTTCTCTGACTGTTCACCTTTCCAAGTATTTTGTCTCTTTCCAAGTAGCTGAGAAGTAGCTTTATCATCCTTGCCTCTAAGGGACACACTGGTTGCACTTTGTCTAAGACATATTAGCTTGTTCTTTTGGCAGCCCATGAGATACTCTGCTCTCTTCTTCAACATCACAACTCAAAGGCATCCAATATTCTTCTATTCATCCTTATTCATTGTTCAGCTTTCAGATGCATAGGAAATAGTTCAAAAGACCATGCCTTACATCAGAGTAAAGTCATTCTTTAAACTGTCATCACTGCATTTTAGCACCTTGGAGCTAATTGATAAAATTTAGTTTTCACACTATACTGGGAAGCACTATTGTACTAATTTTCTAGATGTGGGAGTTTAGACTGAGCCAATATACTTAAGATTGAAGACTAACTGTTAGATTGACCAAGGAAAAAGAAATTCTCTGAGATTAGTAAGGAGCTCTGGAGGCATAGTTTGTAAAGAGTTGCAGTGCTCTTAGATGGAGACACTCTGGTGGTTGAGCCTGGTGGACTGACACGGTGACTAGAGCAATGGTTTAGAATATGTCAGAGATGATGAGATGGCACAGGATAGAACAGGGTTCACATCTGCTGTTCATAGAGTTCTTATGAGTGATATTTGACTCGATGGTACCTAACAACAACAACAGTCAACTCTGTATGACACAAAAGAAAACCCTGCCCAATCCTGGGTCATCCTGTTAGCCTCTACTATACACAAGGCCATTGCTTTAGTCACTGGCTCATTTTGCCTCATTGAGTGTCTTCCTCTTCTTGCTGAATCTCTAGTTTTCTGAGCACAATTTTTCCTCCCAAGGACTATCCACTCTTGAAAACATACCTAAAGTATATGAGATTAAGTGTCCTCATTTTTTCCTTTTAATATATACTCCAATATAATTTCATGATAGATTTGTTTGTTCTTTTGGCAGTCCATGAAATAACATTCTTTGCCAACACAACAGTTAGAAAGCATTGATTCTTCTTCAATCTTTCTTAAAGGTATTAAATAATAATAGAGTTATCAACCCCATTTTATATATTAAAAAGAAATTGTGGCTTAGGAAAGTTAGCTGTGATTTGAAGCACCAAAACTCAAGTTCTATTCTGTTTCCTGAGCCATTTTCAATGCCTCCACTTGTCAATATTACAGTTAGCCTGGGACTTAAAGATGACATTATTAATAAGGAACTGGAAATACTCTGACAAACATAACCATCAAATTGATTTGCCTGTAAATCACCATCCTGATAGATTCAACCATGGGCATAAGTCAAGGGTAGTGAGTCACAATAAAAATAATTAAAGGGCAAGAACTAAAAAAAATACCTACTTCAAATATTAAAGATAATCATCTAAATCTATATGGAATTATCAGAAATGATCATATCATCTTCCATGAAATGTGCTCGATCAGTGCTGGGTGCTGTGAGTGTCATTCAGGAGCTGCCACTTTCTACAGATAAATCCTCTCAGTACCTTTTCAAAATAGTATCTTCTCCTGGAAACTGCCTCCCACACACTGCTCACCTGTTATAAAACTTATGGTGGAACTGTCACAACAGCTCAATTCTGGGTCTCCCCATGTCACCATGGTAACACGAAAGTTGTAGTACCATGCCGGCAGCAAATTAGCTATTCTCTGAAATAAAGAGAGCAAGGAGACAAAAGACTAAGGAGGAAAATGATTTTCTGGGATAAAGTTATATTTATTAGACTATGAAAAAGAATAATATGTACTTTTAAAGTCTCCCTTCTTGTGCCTTTATAACCCCATTCTGGAAAAAGACAAGGCATACGTGAATTGAATACTCAAAATGTTATATACTCTTTAAAGGTGACTCAAAAAGTATAGGGTTCAATATTTTCATTATTAGTTACACTTTACAATTTCCTGAGTATATTACATAAATTAACTAGTATTATGTCTAAGTGATAGTATTTACTATCTAGGGTCCCAAGTGACAAAATGAATTCTATGTTGGTTTGTTGTTGGAAAGTTTGGCCACTTGAACTCAGTTGCCACTCCTAGGAAGGATGGGACAGGCGCTTCCTGTGAAGATTTACAGCCTCAGAACCCACATAGGGGTTGCAATGAATCAGAATTGAACTGATGCCCCTGGTGGCCTAATGGGTAAGGAATTGAGCTGCCAACAAAATTGTAGGTGGTTCGAATTCACTCACCAGTTGCTATGCCATCAAAGAAACATGGGTACTGTCCTTCTGAAAACCTGAGAAAAGGTCAGCTGTAAATTAGTTCACAAGGAACAATGAGACTTTGTTTGGTTTTGTCATTTATAAGACAAAGGAGCTCTGCTCTTCTAGCCCCCAGCACATTGCTTTTTATTCAAAGGCCATACTTCTCTGGTGTTTCATATCCACCAGGAATTTCAAGGGGAGAAAGTAGGGGAATTATATCCCTTTGTAATTTATAGCCTCAGACACTCAATGGAAAGTCAGTATGAGTTGGAACTTATTATTGACAGCTGTCGAGTTTCCATTATTCTAAGAACTCGTAATCTCTCCTAACTCTATATTCTCCATTTTGGCTTGGAAGCAGAGTCCTTGTTTGGCAGAAAACAAACAGATAAAGGATATTTGTATGTTTTATGTGTGACCTATAGGAAACTTGTATTTTCAGAAATGAATCCAGGTTTTGAAAGAGTCATCTTCATCTGTTATCTTATAAAAACCCTCATCCTGTACTGGTCTGGCATCATAGGTATTTAAATGATTTGTAGATGTCAAGTACAGCCATTGTTAGAATTAGGCATTGTGAATTAATTATTGAATACCCAAGAGACATTTCGTGTTTTCCTCTCAGGAGCAGAGAGAAACAATCAGCACCTGATAGCTCTAATCTTCTTTAAACAGATTCATTAGAAAAAAAATATGGATTTGCAGACTCAATTAGGTGTGAAAGCTAGCTTCACACAATTATTTCTTTAAAAACAAAACAAAACAGACCCCCAAACCCAACAAACTCTTAAAAAAAAAAAAAGAAACCATTCCAAATCCTTGAATGTGGCAGGCTACTTGTGGGCCTTTACAAAACCATCTGAACTTAGAATTTGCCTTCCCCTTCTCCCTCTCCCACCCCCACCCCTGTCCTCCACCTTTCTCCTCCCCCACTGTCCCCCACTTGCTACATTACATAAAGATACATCTGTTCTCATAGGAAAGCATGACAACTGGATGAAAGCAATTACCACTGATGAAGTTAAGGAGACAGTTGCTGCTATTTCGTAGTAAGTTGTCCACTCTGATGTCATTGTTGCCGGGTTGAAATAAAACATTTCAACCACATATTTTCTGAACACTCCTAAGTAAGGTCTGGTCCAGCTCAGAACCACTGCTGTAGGGCCCAAGGGATAGAGCATTAAATCTTTTATTCCTGTGGGAACTAGAGAGTGGCAGGTGGGGAGAGTGGAAAAAGAAATGCAGGAAGAACTGGTTAATATTTTAGCAATGACTTCAAATCACTGCACAATAACTAGGGTTTCACTGACATGACCACTGAAAATTAAACCAAGCATATTTTCCTCTAATCTTTCCCCTAAGGAATAACTAAATGCTCGGGATTCCCTTCACCTACCCAATTCTAACCATTTATTACTCTGAATAATACTGGGCCAATTAATAGCAGTTTCCCATATGTGATCATGATGATTAGAGTTTGCACATGGTACTCCCTCAGCTGAAAAACTGATAAAGAAGTTATTACTCGTATGACTAGAAACTTACCAATTGCAAATGTCACAGGATCTGAAGGTGGTCCAATCAAAGGTCCTTTTCTTAGGTATATGACAACTTGGTACTGGGCACCAGGAACCAAATTTTCAATGATAGGTTTGCTTGAGTTCACCTTAAAAGAAATGCCCAGTAAGATTTCTTTAGAACTAGGCACACACAGGACACAGGCTCAATCTTTGTGGAACACAGCTGCCTTTGAAATTCAGAAGCCTTAATCCTGCTGAGGAAGGTCCAATCTCAAAATTAGAATGATTTATAGTCTACATGAACACTGAAGGGAAATTAGGACATTCAAATTCTTTTTTTTTTTTAAATTTAGTTTGTTTATTTTTCATTTCAATGAACATCTACAGAGATTTTGGGATTCCATTCATTCATTGTTGCACCCTTCTTCCCGCACAACACCCCCCCCCTTTGCTCCTCTCCTTGAAAAGCAAAAGAAAAGCTCCCTCATTGGTGCACAATCCCCCGCACCTCCCCAAACCCCACCCCCTACCCCAAATATAATCCACTCTGCAACCCTCATTGCGTACTCCTACGATAAAAATAATGCCCTAAAATATAATACTTTTAGACTATTCTCTCCCCCATAGACTTCAATGCCGTAAACATATTT